ATCAACCAGGAAATCCAGAAACCATAGTGTCAGTGGCACGCTGGTACCTCCTGCAACATCTGTATGCCAAAGATGATTATGAATTAATAGATGTAAGACAGTCCATTTTATATAGAAATTCAATGTATTTATGTTGAATATTGTGCTTGCAACTTGGAAGTGGGGTAGAGAGAGGCTAGGGAGGTGCTGGCTCGCCTGCTCTAGAGGTTGCAGTGTTTAAGGATTCTATGCTGACAAAATGTACCTCAATTTTCGAAATTGTATCCAGTTTGTTTGAAAGTCTTCCGTTCCTCCATGCAATACTAATGAAAAACAAACAGTAAATTCTCTCTCTGATCCAAACTGGCAAGAATTCTACTAGTGACTCTTCAGTAGACACAAGGACCGTTTTATCAGAATTTTACCAGAACATACTAATGCACTAAAAATGTTAATTCCCTCTAGCCTGGCTGGAACAGTGTGGTATCATTGACCCAAAAGATCTGAACAGTGGAGTGCTGTACTTCCTGTATTTAAGATTTTTATTGTATCTGTAATGGTACATTATTTTCAGTACATAGTAAATGATACATTAGTTTCTGTTGATAGTACTTCACAAATGGATTTGGTCAAACTCACAAATCCACACAGCTCTTTCATGTGATGCAAAGGGGTGTGGTTCATTTTGGCTTGTAATTGGAATCACTTTGCTACTCAAACTCTGAATACACTCTCCTAATAATCTCCTCACTGCTGCCACTGGCACGATGAGCTCTTTTGCCCAGCTTAACAGCTGTTCCCTGGTGAAATGTTGAATCCGTAACAACGTACATTTGGAGGTACAACACGTCAGACAGGCTCAGCGTTGACAAAAATCCATACACAGACACACAGGTTCATAAAAAAGCTAGAATTAATGAGTTCAAATGATCCTGATACGATCTCCTTGCACGTTCTTCTGCGAAGTCATCTGTACTCTCTACCAATGAGTACAACAAAAATAATGGCTAAAGATTTTCTTGATTCTACTTAATGGTTTTCCTTCTTAATATGTATAATGTGATTGGATTACAAGAGAAGTGCCAGAAGCTTATGAACATCTGTGAACATTAGGCTGTCACGGGAGCTTTTTCAACTAGTAGAAAAGCTGGAAATAGGAGGTGTGGAAAGTAAATCAAGGAAGGGTAAATTTAAATGGGGGAGGCAAAAGGATACCTTGGCAGTTCTGTTTAAGTAGCTGCAGAGAATGCTTCTGTCTGGCAAATTCAGATTTATACAAATGTACTAGCAGGAGGTAATTGTGCGTCAGCAGGGAGATGGGTCTTATCTAGCTCTGCTTGTTTCATTGCCAGCAGGAAACTTACTTGTCAAACTTGGTCTCAGCCTCAAGTGACAAACGATGCTGTTGTAGAGCATTGCAAGTGACTACAGGTTTAGCAAGTCACTAGAGGGTGAGGTTTTTAAGTGCCTGATGTTTTTAAGGAGGCTGATGTGTAATGTTAAATATTTCCTATCTGGGCTTACGGGTTACTTAATCTTTTAGGGAAACTGCATAGCAGTAATTAAAATGCATTTGAGATTGCCAGTAAAATACTAACAATAAAATTATTACATTCTCAGTTTTTCATTGTTTGTTTTTTCTCTGCAGGTGCTTATAGAAAATGCCAAAGCTAATGGAGATGTTAGAGCTCTGGAACTAAATGAGAAATTGTCAGCAAGTGCCTAGTATGGACTATATCTCAAGTGAAAAATCTTCCACTCGTGCAAATTAACCAGTCCATCTTCCAGGAGCATATGTGGTTTGGCCTTTTTTATTTGTTTGTGTCTGGTTTCCGTTTTTTGTTGCATCAATTGTAACTTTGTCTTTAGTTTTACTTTGTCTTGAACAAAAGTAGGTTATTTCCTTGTTGACATGGGTTCCACCATAGAAATACACTTTATATGAAAGGAAAACCCATAATTTTGCTTTTGTTTCTTTCCTCACTGAAACTTCAGCACTATTCGCAATGGAGAGTACTTGTCTGTATTTCCCCCTTGGCCACACACAGAAGTACAATATTAACTGCATTGGCAGTGATGCAAGGTTTTCTTGGCACAGAATCTTACTAGCTAAATAGCAGCAAACTTTTCTTCTCTCCCAGATACTGTAAAACATTCAGAGATTTAAAACGCCTATATTCCTCTGATATACTTTGTTTTGCAGTTGAGACCCAAATCCACTTAGAACTTCATCTGTGGTGTCAGTTTATACTTTTTTTTGTTTTAGCTAATCTTAATTACAGCAATGTATCCTCTTGACTGCAGGCTTCAGTAAACATTTCCATCAAGAAAAGCTTGTGATCATCAGGGACAGGGTCGTACTTAATGAATGTGTATAACAGGCTTTATTTATGTCTTAGTAATTCTGCTGCTGACTGCTTAATTGAATGAATCATGACAGTGGTTCTTAAGACCTGATGTTATTTTGCCTTTATGTACATGAAAATAAAAAAAATAAAGCAATTATTCTAATCTGTTAGTGTTACCATTAGGGATTTTCAAGCTGTTGACAAGAGCCATGACAGCTGTCTGTATCCTGGTTTAAAGTTTCTTAAAATTACTCTCTGTCCACTGAAGTCTTATGATGGCTCATACAATCCCGTATTACAGAGAAAGGGAACTTCCAAGGCGTGCAGTGGGACTGCATTGAACATACACTTGGTTTTGGAACCAGTTGTATCGGGCTTGAAGAAAGCAGGATGCCGAGCTGGGGTGTGTGGAATGTGCATCTCTGCGGCCAGCCGTGCGCAGTGATCTCTGGAAAGCAGGCAAGAGCCACGAGCGTGCCACTGTCATTTTAAAGAGGAAAACTAAGCTCAGTAGGCTGGGGTTTCTACTCTGTGGAGGTGAGTAGAAACCTCTCTGAATGGCAAGAATCCCTCCTTGTCTCCCACACTTTAGTTCTCCCAGCCATCTCAATGCAAAATACCTTCCTTAAAAAGATTTTTTTTGGTAAATTTAGATCGATTGTGGTTCCCTTCACAGCCTGCTGTCACATAGTCTTGAACTATCAGTAACTGCAGATATTAAAAGGGAATGTTGCAAAAGCCAGACTCGTGACTCTCAAGACTAGCTGTAACTTTTTTTAGCTTGCTGCTATTAAAAGCCTGGAAAAGTTCTTACAGCCTATCGTTCGTATCCTTGCGTATGGTCTTGATATTTGTGCCTCCTACTCTAGTGGTGGGAGAGCCATCATCACCAACCTGATGACAGCACAGTAAGCGGCTTTCTGCCCTTGTTAATGTATTAGGCAGAAACACTTCTACGTGAGCGTTAGCCTATACTTTGTTCAGCACTAAACCTGGAATACTTTCTAACACCTAGGAGAACAGACAAATAACAACAGGCCAAAGAAATCAGCTAGTAACCATCGGCTGTGAATATTCTGTGTTAGGAAAAAAAAGTACAGTATTTTTTCTCTCAGAAGACCCTGAAGTTACTTTTACTGTGATCAGTGATGAACTCCTTGAACAAGATAATTATACAGCCCAAAGTTGTATTACATGCCCTGTAGGAAAAAAAAAAAAAACCCACATATCTCTACCACCTACTCAGTGAAAAGTGCTCAGGGAACATGAGTTTAAGCTTCTGCAAAATCCAACAGTATGAGGTAAAAATCTTGGCTCTCCTCATTTTTTAACAATCTATAGCCTCTACAAAATCAAGACTGGTAGAAGGTCTGCTGTGACACTGGAAAAACTTGTAAATTCATGCAGGTTGAGACAGCCCTATATTTTATACTATTGTAGAGCTCAGCTTTAGAATGCAAAGTACTGTACAAAGGCACATAAAGCATCATTGAGTTGGGGAACAGTGTTGTTTATGCATTTCACTGCCTGGGAAGTCATACATTCAGCTGCTATTACTGTAAAGGGGAAGAAATAAACATTCCCCAGCTGTAAGTTGTTTTATTATGTTGGCTTATGCTGAAGGCAGAATGGAATGAGATCTAATGAATTTCAAGGTAGAACTTGTTGCTACTTCAGATATGAAGGATTTTATATGCTTCTTGCCTACCCTTTTATACAAATATGAGACAATGGCTTGCTTCTGAAAATTTTATTTATTTGGGTCATGCATGTTCTTCTCATTCTCTGTTATTTCCCAAGAATTGCTGGATTGGATTTCTACTCAACTTTTGAGCTTCTCGCAAAATGGTATCATCAAGTACAGTGGGTAATTACATTAATTTGGTCTTGCCTAACCTTAGAGTTTAACAAAAACACAGATGTATACTTCTCTGTCCCCAATACTTTTGTTTGATACCTTTTATATTTAAAAAAATATTTTTTAAATTCATAGATATAAAACCCTTGAGAACTGTGTTAATGCTGCACAAATGCAGCTTTGCAAGGAAAAGTACATTCCTAATCCTGCAGCCCAGTTAAATATGGTCCTGGATGTCTAGAAATTAGCTTTCCTTCTCTCCCAGTTAATTTGCTTTCTACTGATTTAACTGAACAGCTGACAGTTAAATAACTTAAATTTAGTGTTCTCAGGGGAGAGAGGGGTCATTTTGAGTTTGGCCGTGTGGAGTGATAAATACTGAGATAACTCCTTTACGCAGTGAAGTCACTCAAACAATAGCAACATTCCAAATATATATTAATATGTGACCTGAATTTATAATTAGGCCCTCAAACCCTTCTCCTATAATCACACAAATCAGTGTTTAGGTAAAGCAACATTCGGTTGTGCCATAGTGCCATGTGAAAGGATGGGTGGGTAAATAGATGAGAGAGAGAGAAAGAGGTAGGAAGCGTGCAGCAATACTTCTGTCCTCTTCACTGTTCCAGGGTTAGACTCTGAAGGTTGTCTTGGCTTTTTTTCCCCTTTTTTTTTTTTTTTGACACCATGTGCTTTTAGAAACACATTCATCAATAATCTTGTATTTCACCTTTTTGCTGTTGTTCAGTATACTGAGAACCGCGGCATCCAGGGTACTCGGTGGGGAGGCAGATACACCAAGCCATACTAACTGCTGCTTCACCAGCAGCCAAGTACATGGGCAAAAAATTGCAAGAATGCCTAGAAGGAGCTAGAGGAAGAGAGTCTGGGGGGCTGCCCTCAACCCCAAATGTCTTGCTATGACTGCACTAATGGACTTTGTCTACAGTGAAGGCAGAGCCCCCTGTAATGGACAGAACATACAGTGAGACCAAAATGTGGATTCAGAGTGGCTCAGAAACTGCCGCGCGTCATTGCGATTCCGGTGTTGCTGGTTTCCTGCTGCTTGCAGGAAACGTGACAAGCAGACCTGACCTGAAAGCGGGCGTGAGGCTGGGAGTCCTTCCCGCGGACCTGGCCACAAACAAAATGCAGAAAGGTCGTCTGCGACTTTGGTGGCTGGTCTTTGTCTTTTGCAAGATGTGAGTGGTTTCTAGGACTTTTTACTCACTGGAGAAAGTTTAAACGTACCGAAGTTTCTGCCTGCAGGAGCAAGGTGATTAATTGCTGAAGCGGCGTTCCCTACTGACTGCATGGATTCCGTTTCAGCTGTCATGCTGTGCGGGTCTGGCTTCTCACAGAAGCCACCTGAAATCCATGGCTTTGAGAAACCCACTGTTCTGTAGAGCAAAAACCACAACAGGCTTGAGATATGGATTATTGGAGGAGCATTATCTGAGCCCTTCTGAATTTTCTTCTCTGGGCAATGGACAGTATTGGGCTTTCTGGAAACAAATGTACTGTAGAAATTCAGGTTTCTATTGCAATTGCATTGTGACCTTTTTTGACCCCCCTGCTAAGGAACTCTTATTAGCTTCTGTTGGGAAATTACACTGGTATGTTTCTTTTGCCCTGCTCCCAGAGTTTTTCTCCTTATTTCCAGATTGTTTTTCCTGTTTTTTGAAGCAAAACAAAACCTACAATGTCGGTTACATTTTTGAGCGTTCTACTGCAAACCACCACTAACTTTTATTCAGTCAAACAGAGAAGATGAGAAATAAAGCTTCTTAATAATGCATCTGCTAGTAATTAACTTGCATTTTGTCACCTGTACCCCATTTATTAGCTACTTTTAATGATCCGGTAACTTATTATAATAGGTCCAAATCATGCATCAGTAGATATTCTGATAACCAGTTTTCATAATGTTATTACTACATACACATTGTGTGCAGCTGGAGGAATTTACTAGACCTGATTTCAATAGTTACACCAATCTAAAACAGGTGTAGCTTACGGCAAGACTGGGCTTAAAAACAGTACTTGTTTTCTTAAAGTCCTTTAAATACCATGAATACTTTTGTATAAAATCTGCTTGTAAAATTTTAAGTCAATCCTTAAACTTTAACTTTTCTTCTACAGTGAAGTACTCTATTGTAATATTGGTGTGCAAATGACTGTTGGTGTTACAGAGTTGTTATTTTTGTGGCTGCACAACATCATAACTAGCAGTAACATCCTACAGGGATGGGGAGAACAAAATCAGGTGTGTCTAAAGGCTACTTCTTTCTTTAACTCAATGCTGCTTCTCACTGGAGAGAGCACCTGCAAGAGCGGACAAGGCTTGCTCTTGGTGTTCAGTCTTCTGGGAAGTCGCTTTCATTGCATCTTTTTCATGTCTTTCTGAATTTTCTTTTTTTCAAGTTTCAGCTTTGTGTTCTGTATTTGTTTGAGCAGCTCCAGAGACTCATGAATGGACTGAAATCCTGGTAGAAGAATAGGAACAATTAATTAAATAGTGGTTTCTTTCAATACATTAAAAGATTCTTCTTTTTCTTTGCAAAGGTTTCTGACCCACGTTTAATACAGAGCACATTAAATCCAATCTATTTCATCATTTTATTGAATACCGTGGACATGCATTAGCAGTTTGGGTTGCAAGCTCCTTGCTGTAGGAATCATATCTTCCAATACATTGGACAATACCAAGCATGATTACACATAGCAATTGACATCAGATTTGTCGTGTGGAGTGAAGAAAATACTACGTCTGTCTTTAAAACCAAGGGTATTATTAGCCTTAAAGCATATTGCTCTTTCATTGAGCATTGGGTTTTTTGTTTGGTTTGGTTTTTTTAAGTCTGCAGTCCTTATTTTGAATCAAAGTCTGTGTTCCCATCAGATACTGACACTGTTGCTCTGCAGTCTGCCTACCAGATAGCAAGGCTGGTGCCAGGGATCTCCCAGAGTTGTAGCAACTGTACGTAAGAGTTACGGGTCATCTGAGATGGATGCCGTTTTGTTGTGTGCTTCTGGGAGAACGGGAGCTCAGCTTCACCGGCTAAGTGTTTGTGCATGTGTATATAGGTACATAAAAAGAGAGAGATGGAAGCATGCAGGCACACTTTTTTCCAAAAACAGTGCTACAGAGCACCTGAGGCACCTTTTTTGAACCACTGCAGAGTCAAATATTGTTAATAAAGGCTGGAAAAGTAGAATTGTGAGCTGCTGTTACCTAGCTGTTTCCAGATTGCAGTAACTTTCGAATTACAACGTAGTAGTTCTTCGCATTGGCCCAGTGTGTCACATTGGTGTTACCTTATTAGCAAATTCCAGACATGTCTCTGATTTCCAAGATGCCAGTCTGTGCTGAAGCACAAACAGCTGCTGAAACAGCCTACAGGCTGCCTCTGTGCCCTTCATGCTGCTTCCTACCTCTTCAGTGGCCTCTTTTCCCCCTTTTTGGGGATCAGCCCCTACTAGAGGACTGCTATGGGAAAGACCAATCTTTGGACTTGAGTTTGAACACAAGGATGGCCAAAGTTTAGTATAAACAGAACTCTTCAGTCATTAATTTCTGCAGGCAGGAATTTGAAGTTAAGAATTTTCTCCTTTCAGCACCAGAATCTTTTATTCTGAAATTCCTTGGCCACAGCTTTCTTTGAGATGCTGTCTTGTGCTCATTCAGAATGTCTTGGAGACAGCTAAGCCTTCCCATGTCAAGCTGCACAAAGACTTTATCTAATTTAGAGCTTGGTTTGCTACAGCCTTGGAGCAGGGCTCGTAGGTGGGTTGCAGATAATGAAGGAATTGGAGCTGAAGTAAAGAGCTGGGGTCCTCAATCAGAGCTTTGAAGATGAGAGCCAGATGCTTGAGTTTCAAGTGAGAACATGTAAGATGTGAAGCCCTTGTGTAATGATTTTCAGCCATCTGTTCCCTTGGAGAGAGGGCTGAGTGAGGTTTTTTTGCATAACCTGATGTGTCCGCTGTGTTACCATTATCAGCTGCAAGTGGAGGGTATTACAATACATTGGGTTTGAGTGACACAGGATAGACTGCAGCGGGCAAAATCTCCCTTGTGAAGGCCATGTGCTTACTGCCTTTCTAATCGCTGCTGAAAGTTGAACAGCTAGGATCATCTCAGACTGGTGAAGCAGTTCATGCTCTGTGAGTTAACATTAATGTGACTGCCCATAAGAAGCAGCTGCCATGTATTCAGCAATGTTGTCTAACTGCTTCCCTATTCACCGGCATAATGTGTGGTCTGCGTCGGGTAGCTGTTACTCATCCAGACGCCTTTCTCCAGCTACTGTTGGTTGAGAATGGGGAGTAAAGGCTGAAAATTATATAAAAGCATCAAACACGATCTCAGCAGCAGGATCTGTGCAGAAGGGAATGACTTGTACCTCCCAACGAAGGTTTAGTGACCTTGCTAACAGAAGAAATAGGTACTCTAAAAAATCTGGAAAACAGGTTGTGAAATTGCCTTTTAAATGATCTTGCCTTGAGACTCTTGGGAAGAGAAAGTAACCTGTGTGCAAATGTCATGCTGGCTGTTCGCAAAGACAAGCGGGCTAACCCAGACACCTCTGTATATGGGGTTTGGGAGAGAGAAATAGTCATTTTAATGTCTTTCTGTCTTTACCAGAAAGTATTTTCTGGAGCCGCAAGTTGCTGTAGAAATCTATTTTTAAAATAAATTGCATGAAAGCCCATCCTCACCTGATCTGTACTCATTTTGGATATCCTCAAGCTCCTTCCAGATCTGTCTTTCAAATCTGGTGATTCTTGCATGTAGGTTTTTTTCATCTCTTTTCATCTGGTTCAACTGCTTTTCGTATTTCTGTGGTTTATCCATTTGTTCTAGCTTTAGTGACAGAAGTAGGAGCTTTTCTTCCACTTTTTTTTCTGCTCTTTCCTTTAAATACATAACACAGGTAAGACATTTTAAATATGCCCACATTAACCTGCCTCCTGCCAACCGTGCGTTCAAACAGTCTTGCTTCCTAATCCCGTGCGTGACGGCACTGAGTAAGTGCAGGTGAGGTCTGCTACCCAGGAGGATGTGTCAAACCTCTCTTCCCCAACCAACCAAGTAAACTGGGAAAGAGGAGCTGGGCCAGGACAGAGGTGCTTTTTAAATCATTAGTGTGTTTATTTATTAATTTTAAATCTAGTGATTTGCTGTCACATTTTGCAACAACAGACTGGGAACTCAAACAACCCGTTTCAGGTTGCTTTCATGTGCCCATCTCCAGCCCAAGCTTCCCGACCTAAGGGGTGCAACGCTGTGGTGTAAACCCAGCTCAGCTGCCGGCGTGAATAAGGAGGCTGAGCCCCGTAAGAGCTGCCTAACCGAGGGATGGCGAGCAGTCCTTTCCCTTTTTTGAGCTCAGCACAGCTCTCGGAGGCAATTCCCCCTCCTCAGAGGGGTGCTCAAACCTGAGCTGCGCAGCTGCCCGCCCCTTCCTTGGTCTTACAGTTGGAGCGAGCCCTCGGGTCAGCTCCAAGTCTGGTTAATGTCATCAAAATCCTCCGACCTTCTTCAGCCCTTGCAGCCCACGGGAGGCCTGTGGGCCCCAGGCAGTGGCTCTGCCTCCCAAGGAAGGTGTTTGCAAACCTGGCAGAGCTGTCTGAACCTAAACAGAGTTCAGCGCAGTGGTGGAAACACGCTCGCAGTTTACAAACGTTGCTGTGCCGTGCAGGTGGCTGGCGGAGCGAGTAAGCTCTGGGAATAGCCGAGCTGCTGCTCTGCACTCCCAAAACGGCTCCATCACCAGCATGTAGCCTGCCAGATCCATCGGCCTTCGGTTCCTTGGCCCCCCCGGCCACAGGCAGGATCGCTCAGGTCCTCTGAGCCTGACGAAAGGACATGAACAGGACTGCTGCTGAAGGCAGCTGCCTGCGCTGGCAGGGCCCGCTGCTGAGCAGGGGCAAGAGCCCTCCTGGCACAGGCTGAAGCTCATCTCCAACTGCTTTGTCTCCAGTGTTCATTCTGAGGTTTCCTTCGGCTCACCGGGACTGAGCTGTGCTTCCACTGAGACGACATCCAGAGGACCACCAGCTGCTCCAAGCACCGTGCATGCCTGTCTCTACATGTACACATACGTAAAAAACCAGATGCGCTCCTTATTCAACCTACTTAAGAGTGGCTTTGAATGCTGTAACTCCTGTTAATGCTGAGGTTTTTGGCACAGCAGTCTCCCTTAGGGGAGAGTAGCCACACATATTGGTGTGTTTTCTGCAAAATAGTCACAAAAACTATTAGCAGAGGAAGGCAATTCAAGCAGTAGCTTTGAGACAGCAGCTGATGCATTCAGAAACGTTTTTACTATCTTTCTGGCGGCACTAAGTGTTGGTTGATTGAGTACGAGAGATCATCATCAGGCAGGATAAATGGAGATTGAAGTTCAATCAACACAAAAAAAGTGTTTTATTTCCAAGCAACTTCTGAATCTGGTCTTTGATCAGCAGCCTTCATCCTGGCACTAAGACATGGTCATCGTGTGTTGATCGCTTTTGAACTCTGAAGCAGAATGAACTGCACACAGCAAATAAGGAAAAGCTTTAAAAGCTGTGAAGGAATTAATTAAAAGGCATTGGTCCTGTGCCAAGTGCTAACCGCTGCTGTGGAACCGAAACGTGCCGCCTTTTAATGTACTGACCGCAGGATTTGTGCAGAATTTGCACAGATGATCCCTCCCTTTTCTGAGCTTGTCAATGAATGAAACCGGGTGATGTTCAGTGATGGCACCAATGCTCGTCTTGGGAGAGGAAAACACCATTGTTGGGTACATCAGGGTTACACAGATGTGAAGTGGTGCTATAATCAGGGAAGACTTTATTTCCTGGGATGCCCAGAGCATTGTGGGATCTCCATCCTCGGAAACAAAAATCACTTGGATGAGGCTCGAGCCCTGAATTTGCTGTTGGCCCTGTTTGAGCAAGAGTTTGAACCTTACGACTTCCAGATACCTCTTCCAAAATAAATTAATCTTTGATTACATGATTTCCGTAACTCATGATTTTGCTAGCCGTGTCCTGAGGCACCTGGTTTTGTGTTAGATCTCGTTTTTTGTGTGCATGATTTGGTACCTGCTGGGATCAAGGTGACAGGAGCAGTGCTTCTCGCTCCCAGTCCTGGGAGGGCTGGAGGCCACCCCAGTGCCCCGGGCTGCCGTCCTAGAAAGTCTTACCAGTCTCTCCGTCACCGAGTTAAGCAGCTGATGCCTGTGCTGGGCTTGATCTTCTTCAGATCGTGTCAGCTGCGCTTCTGTCCACTTCCGATGAGTCTGTATCTGATCCCTGAAGTCACTTAGAATACTTGTCAACCTAAAATTATAATTATTTTTTTAGTAACAAGACCAAGGTTTAGTCAGTGTTATGGGGGAGTCTTGAGTCACTTGAGTAAATTGTTTAAATTACTTTAAATCTCTTCAATAGCTTCCTAAGAAGCCCAAAGCTCAATTATTTTATTAATCCTTACCTTAAAGGTTGTACCTACATGCCAAAATGTAATTTCTGTAGTGTGGTCTACTTCAGGAAAATATCTGAGGGCTGGAAAATGTTAATTTCCCATTTGAATTAACTCTACTGGAAGTGCATGAAGAAACTAGACTATCCCATTGAACATCGACTGTATTGTTGGGCATCAGGGAGAGCAGCAAAATCACTTGTGGTCTGAAAATGAAGTTCATAAGGAGAAAAAAAGTTCATAACTAAAAGATTACAAACACAAAGAGAATGCAGAGTTGCCTCTGAGGAAGCAGGTGGATAGGAATGTGAAAGCCCACCCAAAGGGAACAGAGCAGGCAGCACCCAGAGGAGACAGGGAACCGCAGGCAAGAGTGGCGAATGAATGCTGCTCGGATCAAATCTGCAAAATGTCAAGTTAAGGGAACTGCACGGTTTAGATTTTGCTTTTCTTATACTGCAACATGTAATTTAAAACATGAACCATGACCAGACGTGAACTTAGGTCCAAGCTGTAGCCATATGTATAAATTTTCATGCTTATGCATATGACCTGACTGTAGGAGTGTCACGAAAAAATTTAATTTAATTGTATTAATTTCTAACACGTGCTTGCATGCAAACAGTGATCACTTGAAATTTGTTTGGGCCTCAGTTAGGATACAAACCAACAGGTAAGGAGCAGGGTTTTATAACTAGACAGTGCTTACAGCTCTTCTAATATTTAACATCACTTTTCAAAAGGGTGTTTGAGTAAAAGTGTTTTTTATAGCGAGTGATTGATAACAGCTCTGTATCAGTCTAATGAAGTGATAATTACTATCAGCAGTCATTGTAAATGTGGCAAAAAAAAAATTAATGATAGCAAAATCTCTCTCAGTGATATGTTATTGCAGTTTGCTACAGACAGTGTCTTTTCAAGATCTTCTACATAAGCAGCCTGTTAGGTCAGTTTATTACTCATCTTAGTAGTTCTAAGATTTGATTTTTCAAGAATAAAAACTTGTAGTATTGAGTTTGTCATTTTTAGTCCTACCATGCACACAGAGTTTGCTTCCTAGAGCACTAATGTTTGTTCGTGAGAAAATAAAGTGATACTGTGGTATTACCCTGATGATACAGACCAGTAGCCCACCTGAGCACAGGAAGGGGAGCTGTAAGGAGCTCTTCTCAGACCTAACAGTGAGCCGTCTGACTGGAACAACAAGGATCGCCATCCAAACCCTGTTCTGGGAAGGTCAGGTGGGGATGGAGACAGCGCCCTGCCGAAGCCACTGCTGCCTGCCCTAAGGTCATTGTTGATGGCGCAGGATCTTCATACCTGAGGATCAGTGAAGGGGCTGGTCGTTACAAGAGTTACAGCTCTCTTCGACC